GGAAGTGCTATAAGTCTTAAGACTTATTTTCCATTCATTAATCATTTGACTTTGACTCAATTCCACAAAATATCGCAATGACACCATTGTCACCCCTCAGTTTATTTTCATCCATAAAATGAAATGTGAATGACTCGTCGTCTTCTATAGGGTTACCATCAGTGTCAAGTGAAAAGATACAGACAGAAAAAAACTCTGAAAATTGTATATAATATGCCATGAAAATATAAAGCATTATGGCTAAAGAAATTGTGAAAGTATACCTTTTTCTGAATCCACTATATAAATTCAAACATGATTCTAACACAACTGTGTCACCAAAATGATGGTAGGGAGAAGATGGCCACAAAGTCTTTGACATTTTTCCCTTCAAAAGTAAAGGGGAAGGGAAAGGGCTCTTTGACTACTCTAACCGTAGAGTACGTTAGAAGCAATCTTGTGCCAATTTCTTGGTCCAGGCTTTTAGAAAACTGGGAGTGTACCCTTCTCGACTCATCAAATATGTATTCTTGGAACCCAGCTCCCATGCTATGAGAAGTCCAAGTCACACAAAGAGACTATATGTGGGCACTCCAGTTGACATCCTCAGCTGAACTGCCAACGAGTATCAACTGCAATTCACACAAATGAGCTGTCTTGGATGTCCCACAAACTTCACCTCTCAAATGACTCCAACCCCTGTTGCTTATACAAATGCATGGAACCCTGAGTGACAATCACCTAGCTAAGTTCAGTTAGGCCAGAGAAACATGACAGATATGTACTGAACTGTAGTTTTAAACCACTATATTTCAGAGTGATTTGTTATGCAGCAACTGGTATCTAGGAGAATAACAAGATATATTTAAATGTTTCCTTAGGCTCAGCACCTGTGGCTCAAGTGGCTAAGGTACCGGCCACATACACCAGAGCTGGCGGGTTCGAATTCAAACAACAATGGGGGCCCACCAAACAATAATGACGGCAGGGTGCCTATAGTTCCAGCTACTTGGGAGGCAGAGGCAGGAGGCAAGAGAATTGCTTGAACCCAGGAGTTTGAGGTTGCTGTTAGCTGTGTTGCTACAGCGCTCTACCCAGGGCCACAGCTTGAGGCTGTCTCAAAAAAAAAAAAAATCAGAATCCTTTGGGCAGCACCTGTGGCTCAGTGGGCAGGGTGCCGGCCCCAGACACCAAGGGTGGAGGGTTCAAACCTGGCCCCGGCCAAACTGCAACAAAAAATAGCTGGTCGTTGTGGCAGGCGCCTGTAGTCCCAGCTACTCGAGAGACTAAGGTAAGAAAATCCCCTAAGCCCAGGAGCTGGAGGTTGCTATGAGCTGTGACACCATAGCACTCTACCAAGGGTGACAAAGTGAGACTCTGTCTCTAAAAAA